TTCCCCTAAGGAAGGACCTAATTTGTAATCAGCTGTAATACGAGTGGATTCATTCAAACTGGGCTAGGCTCCATAGGTTTTCCCCCTTTTTCAGGTGTTTTCTACATAAAAATCTTGTTGTTTCATAAATACTACAACATCTCTTTTATTTGATTGTGTGCCAGGTTTTTATATAAAGTTAAGACATTAAACTTTATATTTCTCTACCGCCGTGAATACTCCATGACACAACAGTTTGACGCTGTCTGTGGGAATGTGATTCTCGATTGGGGGGACAATTATTTCTCTAATCTCAAAAGATCTCTCTTATCAACTTCCTAATATCAGTTATTGCTGCATCAATATCATAAGAATCAGATGTGGACTTGGGGGCAATTTTGACTCCTACTATGGTTAAAAAAAATCCTTCAATGCTTTCATCATCAAGATGATATTTCAGTAAAATCCCAACAAATGCAAGGATTCTTCAAAACAATTATAAGCTTTATACAGTCCCTCACGAGACTTCTACTACTTGGGCAAGATCTACTCGACCTCAAAAAGATAGTAATGGTCTAAAAATAAACCATTTTTCACCTTTAATTCGGGATACACGCAGTGTTCGCCCACTGCCAATCAAGGTAAAATTGATCACATGGAGATTTGATTCGACCTCTTCCATACATGTTAATGTCATCGAGCAAAGGCTCTAACATACAACCTTGGATAGGTCTTACAACCTTGGTGGATTCTCTCGACCTCTTCCATACAAGTTAACGTCATCGAGCAGGGCTCTGACATACAACCTTGGATAGGTCTTACATCCTTGGTGGATTCTCTCGACCTCTTCCATACATGTTAATGTCATCGAGCAGAGCTTTGACATACAACCTTGGATAGGTCTTATATCCTTGGTGGATTCTCTTTACCTCTTCCACATAGGTTAACGTCATTGAGCAGGGCTCTAACATACAATATCAGATAGGTCTTACATCCTTGGTGGATTCTCTCGACCTCTTCCACACAGGTTAACATCATCAAGCAGGGCTCTGACATAAAACCTTAAATAGGTTATTTAAGGTTTTATATCCTTGGTGGATTCTCTCAACCTCTTCCACATAGGTTAATATCATTGAGCAGGGCTCTGACATACAACCTCAGATATGTTTTATATCCTTGGTGGAATCTCTTTGTCTCTTCCACACATGTTAATGTCATCAAGAAGTGCTATAACATTCAACCTCGAATATGTCTTATATCCTTGGTGAATTCTCTCAACCTCTTCCATATAAATCAGCTTCATCAAGCAGTGCTCTAAATGAACAACACTCTCTTTATAAAGATTTCATGAAAGCAAGTAGTTGATAAAATCATCACTTATATAAAGACTTTAGCAGTTTAACATTGCCTCCAAAAATATAGGGGGCAATATATCAAAAGCATGCCTCAAAGATGCAATCACAATTCAATTTCTTCTGAGGGATAAATTTTTAACTTCATATATAATGGAGTTACATAAATCCAACATCAAAATTCAAGTGTATATTTATTCTCACTAGAAGTTGAAATAAAAGTACATCCTTATTATATATACAAGTCATCAAATAACAAACAACTTCAAAAAGGTCAAATATATTTGACAGATTCTATTGAACTCTTTTTTAATGCACATTGAAGCATCTCCTACAACTTCTTCTTCAAAGAAAGGGATGTTTGCACATGTCAATATGGATACATATCGCCTTAGCAGAATGCAACTGGACCACTGTCATCATCATCCCTTCGCCCGATGTTCGCCGTTGGGCCTTTACTTCATATCAGCCATCATCGGCCTCTTGCTAAAACTATTGATAGTATCACACCATCCAACTCTATCCTTTAGCTCTCCACTCGGTCATTGAGTGCCAACAAACTTCCACTCGATCATTCATCATCGATGAACTTTGGATCAAACAACATCAAAATTCTCCTCGTCTATTCATCACTTCTAGTTCTCCTCCCAAATACTATTACTAGCAAATCTTCTCAAATCACCCTCGCATACAAGCAACAATTGATCTTCTTCTATCAAGAGTTGTCTATTAAGAAGATAGCCTCTCATCGCGACTCGTTCTATATAAGAGATGTGCATTATAGCTTGATAGGGGAAGGCTGCCAATCTACGACAGTGGAATGCCTCCAATGTAAGAAGAAGACTAGAGGAGAAGAAAATGAACGGCTGTAAAGATTCTAACTTCTACACACGGAGAGGGCCCTGGATTTTAATAGGGGATGCCGCCTACAACAAATATAGGAATGCCTCAATCGTAAGAAAGTTAAAAAGAGGGAGGAGAAACAAAAGAAACAGCTACAAAAAGTCTAACTTCTGTACAAAAGGAGGCGCGCCAATTTAAGTAGGGAAAGTCACCTACAAAAAACAACGAAATGCCTCGACTGTAAGAAGATAGCCACAGAAGAAGACAGTGGAAGGATAAAATTTTTCCTTATATACTGAAGAGGAGCACTTAATTTAAGTAGGGAAAGTCACCTACAAAAAATAATGGAAGGCCTCTAGAGCAAGGAAAAAAATGGGGGAGAAAAAAGAAAAAAGAGGAGAGATTTTTAACTTATGTACAAGAGGAGGGGCGCTGAGTTAGGTAGAAAAAGTCACATACATAAAACAATGGAATGTCTCGGCTGTAAGAAAGTAAGAGGGAGAAAAAAAGAAGGTGCAAATTATCTCCTGGCCCTGGGGGTATTTATAGCCTTTTTTGGGAAGAAAAGAACATTATGAAATTTTATGAAAATTTTCCTTTTTTTCTGGATTTTTTTTGAAATTTTTTAGGATTTTTTTTCAGAATTTTTTGGATTAAAAAAATTAACGTGGGCCTAAAAATAAATAAATAAATAAAGTATTATTTGCATTAACTGCTGGCCCCTTAACCGCGCAGCTAATCGCGCGGGTCACGCCTTTTCGCGCGGCGTGCGTGCTGCCGTCGATGGGAGGCGACCGACCGATTCGGCCGCCAATGCTTGTCCGGGCACGATTTTCGGACCGGACGATCAAAATCAGACGTTTTTGGGGTCCCCAAATACATTTTTTTGACGTTCTAGACTCAATTTTGACATTTTCGAAGCTCAACGATACCTCTATGATTAAGTTTGAGCAAATTTATATTTTTTGGAATGCAATTTTTTGATATTCGGCCAAAGTAAAATATCGACACATATATTTTTAGATTTTTGGAGCTTCGTCATTCGAAAATAGGGGGGGCAACAAATATGTCATCAAAACATTATCTTGATCGGACACGAATCTCGAGGAAAATCAAGTTGAAAACTTCAAAAATTAAATCTGGGATCATTTGAACTCCGATTTCAGTAAACTTACAGTTAAACTGATCGTCTCAGAAATACAAACCCTACGACACCAAATTTGACTCAATCCAAGCTCAAGTGGGTCCAAATCAAGGAGCCGAAATACTATTGGAAAGTTCAAACCACAATTTGGGTTACTAAATAGTTTCCAAATATGACATGATTATAGTCGAATTGAGCGGCTCGACGAGACAAATCCAACGAGGCCAAGATCGTCAAATTCCAATATCATTAAGACCTTCAAATGTCTGATGAACAGTCCATAATCGAGGGATTCAATATCTGTTGTCCATCCGAACCATTCCACCTTTGCCCTTGATCCTCCTCCTATTTATGGGTCATGCCATTATAAAAAAACTATAAATAGCTCCTCATTTCTCTTGAGAGGGGTCCCAAGACCAAAATAAGAAGAAGAAGAGAAGAAGGAGAAGAGAAGAGAATAATGATAGGAGGGAAGAACTCCTCCTCGACCACCGCCGGAATTTAGGCTGACTTCCACAGGACAATGGAATTCGGCCCGAGTTCCACGGGACACCATAATTCTGCCCGACTTCCAAGGGATGCCAGACTTTCGTCCGACCTCCAAGTGATGCCAAAAATCAGCCCGACCTCGAAGTGAAGCTGGAATTCTGCCCGACCTCCAAGTGACGCCGGAGTTTCACCCGAACTCCAAGTGACGCCGAAATTCCGCCCGACCTCCAAGCGACGCCGGAGTTTTACCCGAACTCCAAGTGACGTCGGAATTCCGCCCGACCTTTAAGTGAAGCCGGAATTCCGCCCGACCTTCAAGCGATGTTGGAGTTTCACTCGAACTCCAAGTGACACCAGAGTTCTGCCCAAATACCATCTAACGCCGGAGTTCTCCTCGTCCGCCAATTGACGTCGGACTTCTACCCAACGTCGAATCTTCGCTCATCGCCAAGTTTCCACCTGACGTTGGACTTCTGCCTGTTGTTGGACTTTCGTCGGACATCTATCCGATGTTGGATTTCTGCCCATTGTTGGATTTATACATGACACCATCCTTTTGACCTTCGTTGTCAGACAATAATCCTTCTGACTTACGTTGTCCATCGATTATAGACTTTCCGACATTTGTCGCCTGCCGACTACGGTCATTCTGACTTACGTCACCCACCGACTACAATCCTTCAGACCTCCATCGCCCGCCAATTATAATCCTTACGACTTACGTCTCTCACCAACCACAGTCCCTTAGATTAAACAAACACATTAACAGTGATTCTTTGTATTCTCATCATGTAATATACTCTATAAGATGTACATCAAGTTAAGGCCTTTCTCCAAGGAATGACCTCATTTGTAATCAACTGCAGTACTAGTGGATTCATTCAAACTAGGTTAGGCTCCGTCGTTTTTTCCCATTTTTTCAGGAGTTTTCCACATAAAAATCTTGGTGTCTCATAAATGCTACACCATGACTCTTATCTGATTGCGTGCCAAATTTTCGTACAAAGTTAAGACATTAAACTTAATATTTCTCTACCGCCACGAATACTCAATGACGC